GCCGATCGGAAGTTCCCTTTCCCACATAGCTTTTCTGACGTGGATGAGACAGAATGGGACCAACTGAGGTCAAGCATTATTGGGCGTCCTTCATCTGCTGCTAAGTATACGAAGGAGCCCCAGCCAGAGTTCCGCTTTGAAGATGAACGTCATCTTGATGCTAGGGGGACTGTTATCAGGTCCTGCCGAATCCAGGCAAGGGCTATCGATCAGCTCCGTCTCCTAGAAGATGAGAAGCTACTCAGGAGGATTCCTGACCTTGGCCTCCATCAAGTTCTCCGTAGTTATTTTCTCCGAGGGGCTATATTAGAAAACGAGCTATTTGGTTGGGTAGATCATCTTTGGTCCTCACATCAGAAGCTTCTCGAAGAAGTTGATTTATTAAGGACCACGAGGGAGTCCTCTGACAACAGCTTGTCGAAGGGTCCACTTCCGACGCCTCTCAAGTTGACAGGCTTAGACGAGAGTTAAATGAGGCGCTCCAGAAGAGGGATCGCTGATGTCCTAGCCCGGGCAGAGAAGGCGGCGGCGGCTCACGCAAAGCGTCAGCTAGATGCGGGAGAAGTGACTATTGCCAAACTTCAAGAGGAAATCAAACGGCTGAAGTCTTAGTCCCACCAGGAGGTCGTCAATGAGCATCGTCAGGAGATTCTTGATAGTTATCGTCAAGATATCATTGACGAATATCCGGGGAGTTTAGCTAGCCGAACTGAAGTGGCGCTAGCTTGCAAAGCTGGATGTGATTACATGTCGGCTCAGATTCCGGCTGATTTGGTGAACAGCCCCAGTCGCCTTCATTATCCTTCCATGGTCGCTAATTGCTTAAGCGAGTTGGAAGAGTTGGAAACACGAGGAACATGGTTCGACCTAAGTGGGTCCGAGGATACTTGTAAGTTTATGTATCATTATGGATTTCGATGAATGGTTTATATTCCCTGTATTTTATTTACCACTTATTGTGGAATTATGTTCTATGTAGTGTTTAGCTGTTTCAAAAATTTCTGCCCACCTTCGGTGATCTAGACGGTTGGGAGGTCCTGATGTGGCTACTATAGTTTTGCGTTTGATTATGAATCGGGTTATTTTTTAAAAATATGTTTCAAAAATTTCCTCTTGTTAGAAATGTGGATATATAAAATCTTAGAAGAGTACCGAAGCAAATTCAAATTTTTGTTGGATATACAATAATTAAACAATATTACCTTATCTGCATTCTGAAGATTGTAATAATTCAATCATAAAGAGTACTGAAACAAATTTTTGTTGGATACCATAATTAAGCAAGATTATGTTATCTACATTATGAAGATTGTAATTCAATCATAAATCAATTGTGAAATATTTTCTACATTTATGAACAAAATCATAATGTTAATAGAATATAATATTAATAGAAAATAATTTTGACCAGACTCATATATGTGACCAGAAAATACAAGAAAAATCCAGTTACGAAGTTAAAAATTATTTTGAAAAAACAGGCATAGGCTGAATCCTTGTACCAAAAGTGTCCAACAGGAATAATACAAACATCCATTATAATTATATCATACATTCGCTTCTTTCTGGTTAGGATCTGATCGATGCTCAAGCTCTTTGTCCAGCATGACGAAGAGATGGTTGTTGGATTTAATCTAATAAATCTATTTGTGGGCACATATGATTAATCAATGTGTATTGCTATCTTTCAGGATAACCCACTAAAGTGATCAATTAAGTTGGGTTAATGGGTATTTAAATATAATCATGGGGTTATATGTGCAGATACCAGGTTGTAATTGTGATTTATTGAGGGGCTAAATTACAAAAGTACAATATCTATAAATAAGGGGTTATGGTCCCTAATCTAGGGTTACAACATCCTCTAATTCTCTACACCCCCATCTAGCTAGAGAAATTCGGTTTTAGAGAAACCCTAAGGTTAGAAGATCATCAAAAACCCAAATCAAGATTTCATCCATGGATTCAGGTATAAGCTTCCGCTCTTTTGATTATTTGTTAATCTCTTTGAATTAATCATGGCTATATGGTTTTAGATCTC